TGTTTCCTAAAAGCGGTGGCTATCACCTCACCTAACTCAGGAAAGAACGTTGGCTACATGGTATGTGATATCTGTGATGCATAAAATACATCTTTGAGGTTAAAACACTTATTTTTCCTCTTTGGAATTCACTTATGGATGAGAAATATTATTAACAAGAGATAGGCCTGACGAGGAAGGACAGGTGACTAATGTCCACTTATAAATCTGACTCTCCAAAAGAGTGCCTTTTCTATGAACTCGCCATTTTTATACTAGATTTCTGAGTACTTTCAGAACATCACTGTTAAAATGTCACTGTACTCCCAGGAATGGAATGACACATTCTATCATTGTCCTCTCTGACACAGCACAGTGGCTTTGAAGAAGATACCAGGCCCCGAGGGAACGGAGCACACACAGCTGAGCGAAGGAAGTCATCCCTGGCCAGGGTTAGATGCAGCTGTGAGAAATTGGAATCTGGAGAGTGCTGGTGTAGTTATCGTGCTCTGAGGGCAGGTCTGCTGGGTGTTTGGGGGGGTGACACCATACAGAAGAGGGTCCTGGAAGGGGGAGCTAGGAACCCACAGGGTGATATGTAGATTACTTGGTTGTTCTGGAGCCATCGCTTTCATCTGGCTATGCTGATGGAAATGGCAAAGACCTGCGTCTAGAGGAAGCACATTCCAGCTGCAAGTGCAGAGGTTTCAGGGTCAAACAGGCCTGGATTCAAATATAATTCTATCAGCATGGATGGCTTTGGGTAAGTCATCACTTAGTTTCCTGCATCTATAAAATGTAAAACTCAAACTATTAAACTGGAAAACCAAGTGCCTCATGTTATGCATGTGGCAGCTATATGCATATCAAATAGATATGCACAAATATGCAATAGCTAGTGGAAGCATATATGTGCATTATACACACACATATGTCTGTACATAGATGTATTCATGGGTCTACTATAGTGCTCTTTCTCCTTTGTTATGTTACTCCCACAAGAAACTTGCCATATATTTTCTATTTTACATTTAAATTTCCTCTTATCCTATAGAAACATGTTTTTACCAAATTTTCAGAATATGCACGTAATTTTCCTATTAAACAATGGTGTTGGGCTGCTTTATCTTAGGTAAATTTGCAGAATTACTAACTTGGAGAATTCTAATCATTAGCTACCTAAGAAAACAGAATGTTTACCACATGATAGAACAGATTCAGGCAATATGTTACTAATTTTCTTTAACAAGAAAGTGAGTATTGCTCCTAATGAATAATATTAACAGTGTTCTTTTGGGCACCACTACTATGCAGTAGTCACCTATGGTAATCATTATTTGAACTCATGACAAAGCTGGGTAAGGATTGGAGGCATGTGTATTCAAATGGTTTAACCTGAACCATAGTATAGGTATGTGCCTTGTCAAATGACTAACATGATTATTCTAATCTAGCAGATTATATAAGGTATCCATGGCTCTAGAACCTCAGGCCTTACCTTCTCTGCCCCCCATACTTTTGACAGATGTCAAGACAGGATCTTTCTTATCACAATTCTCTACTATGTCTACTGACTTTTTTAAGACCTCTCAATGGCCAGAGTACTTTTCTTCAATAACATTCCTTCAGAGCTTGAGCTACAATTATTCGAGATATGGCTACATCTAGTATTTTTAATTCTGATATGGAATTTATATGAGGACTGCATAACCTACAAAAACCATAGCAACAATGGAATAAACAAATCTTTCAAAAAATCCTTTGAAGCTGCCCTAAGTGTTGTCACTTTAACATTCAAAATAGTACTTACTAGGGCCCTCAAGGCTCACTGTACAGTCTGGCCCATGGTGTTCTCTTCAATGCAAAAACCCCCATTTCTTTCCCCCACTCCCCTTCTGATTCAGTCACACTCAACTAATCTTCTCCCTGACCTAGACCTTCCCACCAGCTGTGTGCTCTCTCTAGTCCACCACACCACCACTCCGCCCACACTATTTCTTACTAAATTTTGTTCAATCTCAGCTTAAGCCTCATTTTCTTAGTTTTTCCTGAGCACATAGACTCCTTAGCAGCCTAGACTTCTTTATGGCATATTTCACAAATGTATTTATATAATTAAGTAATCAGCTGGTTAGTATTTCTCTCCTGCATTTAAAGCCCCCAGGACCATGTCTGTCTTATTCAATGTTGTACTTAGCATGGTGTCTTACTAAGTGTAGTATTGAATTAACTTTTTAACTCACTTGAAAAAATAACTTCTTATTCAGTTTAGCATTGTGCATAATAATACCTTTATGACTACTAGGCTTTCAGTGGCTCATTTTTGTGTGTGTGTGTGTTGCCATACATACAGAACAAAACATAGTATATCCTGGGTTCCCCTGAAAGCATAGCCTGAGACAGAGGCTTTCTTAAAGGGTCACTGATCGTAAGGAGCAGGAGTAAAGAACCAGAGAATGATTGCTACAGATGAATTGTGTCCCCTCAAAATTTACATGTTGAAGCCCTAGTTTCCATTGCAACTCTTTGGAGATAGAGTCTTTAGGAGGTAATCAAGGTTAAATGAAGGTAGAAGAATATGCTCCAAATCTGAGAAATGATCTATATCCTATATAATAAAGAGCTAATATGCTAATTAGGCTGAACAGCCAAACGACCTTCAGGATGACCTTCCAGATGAAGCCAGGCTGGGAGGGCCAGCCAAAGCTGCTAGGGGCTGTGAGGGCCAGCTGAGGTAGCTGGTGCCACAAGGGCCGAGCCCCTCGCATGAATTTCATGCATAGGGCCTCTAGTCTACATTATAAAAGGCCAGGGGCCACTATGACCTAAATGACCAGATGGACGACTAGTCACCAGGAAGTGTATGGAACACCTCTCAGTCCCTCCCCCATGGCTCACAGACTCCTGTCTCAGCAAGGCTGGTGGCTGGAGGGGGGTGGGGAGGAGGGGAGGGCACGGTGAGCTCATTAGCCTCCAGCTGGGGCTGAGATGGAGGCCTAATGACTTTGCAGCTGCTATGGTGGCTGCAGATCAGGCCTGGAAAGAGGCCAAGAGAGAGAAAGACAGAGAGAGAGAGAGAGAGAGAGAGAGAGAGAGAGAGAGAGAGAGAGAGAGAGAGAAAGAGAGAAAGAGAGAGAAAGAGAGAGGGGGGGGAGAGAGAGAGACAGAGAGAGAGACAGAGAGAGCCTGATCAGCAGCCATTGCAACTGTTGGTAAGGCCCAGAGAAAGAGGCAAGGTCTGATCTGCAGCTGCCACAGAGGCTGCAGATTAGGTCCAGAGAGAGGCCTGGAGAGAGAGGCCCATAAATAGGCTTGGAGATGCTGACTGGCATAGAAACTGACTAATCAGAACCAAATCTGGATGAACTGTGAGAAGCCAATGGCTGACTAATCAGAACCAAATCTGGATGAACTGTGAGAAGCCAAGGAGGCAGAGCTTTTGACGCTGACTGGCATAGAAACCGACCAATCATAACCTAATCTGGATGAACTGCAAAGGCAGAACCTAAGATGGAGGTTGAGGAGGGGTTTTAAGGGCAACAGCTATTTGGTGTAAGGTGTAAGAAAGCGGTTCAAGTTTTCAATGACCGGTTTGGCAGTATAGTGCATATGGCTGGCTATCAGTCTGGATATAGGGATTATGTATTTTTGTCTGCCAAGAGTATCTCCTCCTGCTGAAAAGTCTCCCCTTCCCATTTAAGCAACTCTATCCTATATTATCTATCTATACTAATAAAAGGATAATATGCTAATTAGACCAGGTCAACCAGCTATCTTCTGGATTTCCGACTTCCTTCAGAACAAAGCCATGGTGGTGGGGGCTGAAGCAGAGGCAGTTAGGGACAATCAGGCTGGCAGGGGAGGGAAGTAGGGGCTGAGATCAGGCAGCAGGGGGTTAGGGGCAATCAGACCTGCAGGGGAGGGCAGTTGGGGGTGAGATTACACCGGCAGGGGAGGGTTTTGGGGGAAATCAGGCAGGCAGGCAGAGGTGATTAGAGGCAATCATGCAGGTGAGTAGAGTGGTTAGGGTCAATCAGGCAGGCAGGCAGGTGAACAATTAGGAGCCAGTGGTCCCAGATTGCAAGAGGGATGTTTGATTGGAGAGGGTGCAGGCTGGGCTGTGGGAACCCGCACCCCATGCAAGAATTTCATGCACCAGGTCTCTAGTATATGTGTGTGTGTGTGTGTATACATATATATATATGAGCCTAAGTGACCATAATAACTGGCCAACCAGTTGCTATAATGAAGCAGTGACCACCAGGGGGCAGATGCTCAATGCAGGAGTTGCACCCTGGTGGTCAGTGTGCTCCCATAGCCAACCTCCTGTGGTTGGCCAACCTCTTGCAGTCTTTCACCCTAGCTGGCAGGCCCCAATTGGCCTGACCGACTTAGGGGAGTGGGCCCAAGTTGGCAGTCAGACCTCCTTCGCACTACTGCAGAGGTAGGAGAGGATCCTGCCACCACCTCTGCGCTCACCAGCATGAGCCCAGCTCTGGCTGAGCGGCACTCCCCCTATGGGAGTGCACTGACCACCAGGGGATAGCTCCTGCATTGAGATCTGCCCCCTGGTGGTCAGTGTGTGTTTTAGAGACCAGAAGTTCTGCCATTCAGTCAATTTGCATATAAGCCTTTTATTGTTTAGGATGTAAGTAAATTATAATAATACATTTGGGTGTGTTTAGCATTTTTTCACTTGGCTTATAGTTTAGAGGCAAATAGTCCTTTTAAAATCTTAGAAGGTATCCTGGCTTAAAAGGCCCTCAAAGGCCTGGTTCTAAAATACAATTCCCTGGGACAGAAAGGGAATGACCTACTTCTGTGGTCTAGAGCCCTGGCTATATATATCTATCAAACTTTCTGGACATGGTCTTTCCTAGAATAATTTAGGATAAACTAACCCCTTATCTCTTAGTTGAAGGAAAGCCATGGCTGGTAGAAGAAGGACCCATTGCACACTTGTTTTTATTCTGGTGACAAAAATACACTTTTCACTAACTGCACCATTTTACCCTTTTCAGGTGTAACTGTGTGGAGCCCCATAATCCCAGCAATGATACACTGAAGGAATGGAGCGAGTCCAATATTTCTGTGTCTGACATAATTTGGGAGAACCTAACTGTGTCAGTAAGTGATACATTGATAAAATGAGTCATATATTGAATTGTATTATTGTTTGGTGGCTTTTGTTGACATTGTGAATGAATTATCACCAGTAAGGTAACTTTTTTTGAGTGCGTCCTGCTATAAAAGTGATAGTTTTGTTTGTTTTTTCTGGGGTTTTCTTTCATTATGAACTATTTCTCATACCTAGTAGGCCTGCATTGCTCTAAAAGCACACATATACAACATAAGGTGACTAGACCCATGGTAGGCAAACTGCGGTTCACGAGCCACGTGTGGCTCTTTGGCCCCTTGAGTGTGGCTCTTCCACAAAATACCATGGTCCGGGCGAGTCTATTTTGAAGAAGTGGCGTTAGAAGAAGTTTAAGTTTTAAAAATTTGGCTCTCAAAAGAAATTTCAATCATTGTCCTGTTGATATTTGGCTCTGTTGACTAATGGGCTTGCCGACTACTGGACTAGACTGCCTGAAAGCATATTAAATAACAATGGTCTTGACCTAAATGAAGACATATGGCAGCACTAAGTGGTCCTTCTGTGTGAAAAAAAAAAAAAACCAGATGCTTTTACTTTACTCTGTAGTACTGTTCCAGCTATTCAGAGTATGCTGAGGGTAAGGGGCTGCTCGTTATTATTTCAGTGTAAATATTTTTATTCTAAAGAAAACATTTTAATTCTAAAGAATTAGTCTAAATATTTTCATTCTAAAGAAAACATATTTTTATTATAAAGAAAACATTTATTCTAAAGAGAACAAAAGACAGTTTATTAACAAAATTCTGGCACCTCCCTCGTGAAGGGATTTGTCGTTTCCATTTTCTTCTGATCTCCCACTAAAGAAAGAGGATGGCATTTTTATTTTAAATCCATACCTTTTTTTCCTTTTTTAAAAAAAAATTGTTTAAAGTATTACAGAGAGTAGCAAATATCAAAAAATAAGAATAACTGATAATAAAAATTCAATTCTCCAACCTGAAGAATTAGAAAGAGAGCAACAAGAAAATCCCAGAGTGAGCAGAAGGAAGGAAATATTAAATCCCATACCTTTTAAAAACTTTTTTCTTATTTCTGCTTTGTGATTTCTCTCTCACATAGCTGTTTTTCCATTCTGCTTAACCTATCATTATGTTTGTGTACTTCTTTTTTCATCTGTATTTCATCCTTCACTTCTGTTTTGTCGAATCTCATAATTGGAAAAATTGAAAATGTTCTGCTTCAAATAAATATTTTTAAAAATCCGAGTCTTCCTAATTTCTTTTTTATTTCCCTCAGTTACAAACAGGATGATCCAAAGTTTTGTATAAGCTCAAAACCATTATAGCCATCAGCATAAAATGATATGAATTCAGTTCATTTTATGAAACACATATCATTTTAGTAAGCAAGCCAGTTAGTGGAATAAATAAAACTTTTTTGTTGAACAAATTTATAAAAATCTAAATGTGTTTTTTTTAATTGAGGTATAATTGACAAGCAACATTATATTAGTTTTAGGTGTACAATATACTGATTCAATATTTGTATATATTCTGAAGTGACATCCACAGTAAGTTTTTGTAACATTCGTCACCATACATAGTTATATAATTTTTTTCTTATGATGAGTACTTTTAAGGTCTCCTCTCTTAATGACTTTTAAATATAAACATGAATTTTGTAAGAGCCATTTGACCTATTGCCTATTTTGTCAATTTTGCCATTAAATGTTTTCTTTAGAATAAAAATCAATTTTCTTACCCTCTGTATAAAATTCAATCTTGACCTATATTTTACTACCTTTATTCTTTTCTTCATCATTTTCTCTAGAATAAGCCTTTACTTACTCTTGTTTTCTTCTTTTATAGTTAACATTTATTATTCCCTACTTTTTTCCCTAGAAAAATAATATTGCACGGTTATCCATTTATTGAATAACCATTATTATCTATATCATGGTTGATACATCTGACAGTGTATCTTCAAACTCATTTTTTTTCTTTTGGTAAACTATAAGGATGTTATGTCTAAAGAATCTCTTGCTTGTGTTCCTCACCATGTGTTCTCTTCAATGCAGAAACCCCAATAATCCCATCTCTAAATTATTTATCATCATTTACTCTATGTATTTTATATTGTCTGAATAATTTAATGCTAAATAACAATATTCTGTATAGCTGCAAATCCTGAGTAATAACCTTCTAAAAGATTCACAGAACAATTGATCTGGCTTGCCATCAGTTAATTTTAGATAATAGAAGTTTTAGAGTCAAGCAGAGTATAGTGAATAGTATTTTGCCATCAAAGCATAACCAGCATTTTGTTGTTGTTTTCAAAGTCCTGAACTAGGTGTTAACATTCTGGCATACATTTTTATATTATTTGTCATTCGTTAAAAGCTGCTTTTGAAATTGAGTAATTGCTAATCTTGACCAGAAATAACCTTTACCACCAAAGGGAATGCTACATATTGAAAAAAAAATTGTAATTTTTAAGTTAATGAAAATCATTGAAATTTTTTTTTCTTAATTATTATACCAGCGTTTTTTGTTGTTGTTTTTTAAGCATAATCACAAATTAGTAAAATCAGTTTACTAATAAAGCTTTGTGCTAATGGCTTTTATAACTACTTTGTAAAAATAATAATATAGCATTTACTTTATATGTTGTTCATATGACAGATTTTTTTTTTAATTATATTTTTACATACCTCACAAATTATAATTTACCTTGCGAATTCACAAAGGGCAAAGAACTTTAGCTTTCTGTGGTTTTCCCAAGTGAGTGTTCCATAAATATTCAATGATTATTTTGAAAGATAGTCCCATATTATAGATTTACTATTTAACATGTCTTGTTTTTGTTTATTTCCCACCTTTATTGAGATGTAATTGAGATATAATTGACAAAAATTATACATATTTAAGGTATACAACATAATGTTTTGATTACATGTACACATCATCAGATGATTATTACAATCAAGCTAATTAATATACCAATCCATCACATAGTTGCCTTTTTTTGGAGAGAACAATTAAAATCTACTTTTAGCAAATTTCAACTATATAATACACTATTATTAAATATAGTCTCTATGCTGTGGGTTAGATCTTCAGAACTTACTCATTCCACAAAACTGAAACTTTGGACCCTTTGATGAAATAGTTCTCCATTTCCTCTTCCCCGCCCCAGCCTTCTGTAACCACCATTGTACGCTGCTTTGACGTTCTTTTTTATTTCATATTTAAGTGAGATCATGCAGTGTTTGTTTTTCTGGCTTATTTTATTTAGCATTATGTCTTCCAGGTTCATTTATATTGTTGCAAATTACAGGATTTTTTTCTTATTTTAAGGGTGAATAACATTCAATTGCGTATTTATGCCACATTTTCTTCATCCTTTAATTCTTTGGCAGACACAGGTTATTTCTGTATCTTGGCTGTTGTGAATACCGTATTTTCCGGCGTATAAGATGACTTTTGAAACGAAAAAAAGTCACTCGGGTTTTTCAGTGGTCTGAATTCAGGTCTCAGCAGAGGGAACAGAGAAAAGAGGACGGATAGAAAGCACCTCACTTGGAAATCTAGGATGGGACTATACCACCGCCCTAGCAGGCTTTTTACTAGAACACAGTGTAGCTTCGGGTATAGAACATGTATAATTTGCATGCATAAAAAGCCTGCTTGGATTGGCCAGAGCCAGAGAGGCGGAATATTAAAAAAAGAACTGGTGTTGCCTCGGAATTGGGGGGTAGTCTTATACAGCGAATATAGGCCTAAACCTATGTTTTAACTGTAAAAAATTAGGGGATCGTCTTATACGCCGGAAAATATGGTAATGCTTAATGCAAATCTTTTATGGCAAGCTGGAATATTTAGGTTTCTTTTGTTATATGTATTTTTAGCAATATTTCAAAATCAGCCATTATAAGGAGTTCTTAGGCAAGGTTTAAAATACTCACAAGCATTTAACTTGCAATTATTAATAGTCTTTGTGCCAGAATAACATATGTAGCTAGCATATTTAAGGGGCAGAACACAAATGCCAACTTCAACTTCTTATTTTATCAAACTTGATTTTTACTAACATAAAATTATTAATACTTATGCTGTAGTTGAAGGGTAATTAGTAGAAATTAGTTTCTACTAATTATGTTTTTCATTGTATTTTGTAAGTTAAATCATGTGTTAGACTCAAACTAAAAGAACAAGATTTAGATTTGGTATCCACTTCTATATCTCAGGATTTAGATGTAGAAGTGTGTGTATGTGTTGGGGGTGGGAAATAGTTAGAAAAAAACAGAAAATAAATATAGAATTAGTAGATTATACTTTTTAAAATATTAACATTCTGTACCTCCCAAATAAATACCCTTTTCAAATTTACTTTGAATTAAAGTACCTAAAGCAAGCTATTGGAAATTTATTATCTACACTAATAAAAGAGTAAGATGCAAATTGATCATACATTCATGACGCCCAACCAACCAATCAGGGTGGGTATGCAAATTAACCCAACAAAGATGGCTGGCTAATTTGCATATGCAGGCACTGAGAAGCTGGGGGTGTTCTGCACCACCCACAGCCACTCTGGGCCTCTGGATTACGTGGGAAGGCAGAAAGGCAGCTTTGGCTGGATTAAAGGCGGTGCCAGCAGCCAGGGAAAGGAAGGCCCATTCTTGCATGAATCTTCATGCATTGTGCCTCTAGTAAATTATGACAGTTAAACAATCCTTTGAAATGGCAAATGGCAGCTCTGTTCTTAAGAATTGAGAGCAAGATTCAGCCAAGTAGAAGGAACATTTTATGACTACACGAAAGGCTGCAGAAATCACAATGCTATGGATAATGAGTTTACAGTGGAGCTTGTAGCTCCTCTTTGTATTTAGTTGCTCAGCTTGCCCATTACTTTGCTTAGTAATTGTGCTACTAGTATCTCTGATCAGGGATAAGAGGAGGAACAAAACAAAAAAAAAAAGAAAAGAAAGAAAAAGGAAGGATTTATTTTTGGTACTTTATTTTTACAAAGTTTTGAGAAAAGGAAAATTAAATCTATAATTAAGGCCTGGAGGATTTTTCTTTGGTTTTTCAATTAACCAAGTTATTGTGCTCTGTATTAATTTAACATGGATAATTGGAATTCAGCCTTAGCTATCAAGGAAGGTATTTGCAGTTAGATTAGAAGAGGGGACAGAATTGTTTCAGATAATTATAAGGTATACTAACAATATTTCTTAATAATCCTAGCCTTAGAAGTAGCTGCTTGAACTAGATTTAATGGTTCGTTGTTTATTTTTGAATAACAATGTAGCTGTCTGTGGTTTATTTTACAATCCTTTGAAGGTATTTATTTTTTGCTATATAAGGTCTCCAGGGCCTGAGGCATTGTTCAGTGGGAGGACTCTGTGTTGTTGACCAATCCAAAAGTGCATTTGTTTCTTTAAAATCTCTGTACCATGGCACAATTCCATTTCTGTTCAGGTCCAGAATATCTTAAAGGTTGATCAAGTCACTGGTTCATGTAAGCAATTATTTTCTGTTTCAAAATAAAAATAAATACATTAGTAACCTAATCTTCAAAATAAGAGAAACCAAAATGATTTTAAAAGAAAATTTTCAATTTCAAAATATTAATATTTAAAATACTCAGTTTTTCTTGGAGAAAGGAAATTTTTTTTGACTTTGCTGCCACCTCATGGCTAAGGCAGTAATTAGCCATGATCCTTCAGGGGCTTATAAAAATATATGCCAGGGGAAAAAGACCACGGAAAAGTCAGAAAATATGAGCTCTGTCTTGCTCATGAAGTAATATTTGTTGTTGTTAGTGTCTGTGATCTCAGTTTGGGATCTGAGATCCCTATCTTTGACTCACAATTTCATTTCACCAATAACATAACATAGTTTTTTGTTGTCTTTCTTATCTTTTTTGGTAGATTTTGGATTAGATAATTTTACAAAATCATTGTTCTTTAATAAGTAATAACATCCCCCCCAATGGACACTATTTGTATCACAGCTCTACTGCCACCAGCAGCACTGAGATCAGAGCAAATTACTTATACTCTGTTGCAGTTTCCTCAGACATGAAATCAAAGTAGTAACATCTACCTAGTTTATAAGCTTGACATGCAAATGAAATAAGATGATGTATTTAAATGGTTTGGTATAGTGTCTGACCTGATAATCACTCACTATGAAGTATGTCAAATGTTCAGCAAATATGCTGTTAGGAACTTAGTTGTATAAGCTTAAATACATATCATGGGTACATCAATTTTATAGATTTAGATTTAATTTGAAAAAGGCCAACATTTTAAAAGTGGTTCATGCTCAAATTTCACATCAGACTGATATTTCTCACCACTGAACCTGTCCAGATAGAAGCCGTGGAGCCTAGTGTGTTGTTAAATCACGGTGGGGGCCATAGATGCAAAGCTGCAGCATCTCCCTGACAGCCGGCCCCAGCTGTTGGACGTCTGAAGGGACTGTGTCCATTTTTTCTTAAGAGCTCAGTTTGTTTTACTTCCTCTGGCAGGAATGCAAGTCATTGCACGGAGAGTATGTGGGACGAGCCTGCGGCCACGAGCACCCATACGTTCCAGATGTTCTGTTTTGGTCCGTGATCCTGTTCTTTTCCACAGTTACTATGTCAGCCACCCTGAAGCAGTTCAAGACCAGCCGCTATTTTCCAACCAAGGTACTTAGACTACAGTTTTCTGGATTGAAACATAAACCTACCTAAAGCAGGTTATGAAGGCATTACATGTTTAGAGAAAGAAGAAAGAGCACTTGCTGTGATAAACGGATCCGCTAAAAAGTTTTTGTGTGAGCAGGCTGCCAGGGTAGGAGTGGAGGGAGCAGAGGAGGGAGGGGAAGGAAAAGCGTTTTGAGACAGGTGCTGGAAATGCACATGAACTCCAGGCTTCTCTCCTCCAAATCCCAAAGATTAGCTCCCACTTGCCCACTTCCGTTTTTGGAAATGGAAAGTGCACACTGCAGTAGTGACTGTCACTCCCTTCAGTGAACAGTAGTGGGAGCTGTTCCAGCCTGACAGATACCTCCTTGGAGCCACTGCCACCCTCTAACTGGGAGAGCCCCTGCAAAGCCCATTGGAATTCCATTCTCTTACATCTCAAAGTGTCAGTCCCTCCCCTAACCCACCACGTTTGCATCTGCATATTTGGAAAGGAAAGTAAACATAGCTTAGTTCAATATTTAACACTGCCAAGTAACACCTATAATGTCTGACTCAGCCAATAGAAAACAAGAAAACAAGCTTTTTAAGGATGAGCTGACGATTATAACAAAAATTCCACCCTGGGAAAAATGTTTCAAGAAGTGTTTCTTCTGCAGAAAACTTCAGTTTTCGTCACCTCCTTCTGTAAGATGGAAGGTCTATTTCCTTCCCTTGAAAGTCTAATTTGATTAAATTATTTTCGTAACTTGAAACAACAATCTCCTATATTTTTGTGTGTGTCATAAAGGCATCCTAATAAAGAAGCCAGATCTTGGTGATCATTGCATTAGGATTTTTGCTGAAAGATGGCTTTATACATGAGATGGCTATAAAACTGGCTTACACAGAACTTTTAATTTTTTCTGCTCTGTTGTGCACATTCCTTGCTGCCATTCTGATATCCCAGATATACTAACTAAAATACTGTGCTTCTTCAATAAAAACGAGATTTTATTTTATGGTGCTTCAGGTTTATCACATTAAAATGTTGCCTGTGTGAGAAAGAGTCCTAAAATGTAGCCAGATTCTGGCTTTGCAACCTTATTCTATGTTCTAAATATTCACGCACTTAGCTTCATAATAAACTTAGAGTTTAAATAAAAATTAAAATAGCACAATAACCATTACAGCAATTTCTAAGTGCCTCTTTCTGGAAAGGTTGAGTATGTAGCCATCTTAATGACAGTTACATAAATACACATTCAGGTTCTGACAGAACTAATGATAATATTCTAGTATGCATAGCATATAATATTGTGATGCTTCGTCATAAAGTTTTTGCAAAGAAAGATTATGTTCCTGAGTATTCCTGTCTATTTATAGTTTCTTCAGGTGACAGATGTTTTCATTATTTTTAGGTTCGATCCATAGTGAGTGACTTTGCCGTCTTCCTTACAATTCTTTGTATGGTTTTAATTGACTATGCCACTGGGATCCCATCTCCAAAACTACAAGTACCAAGTGTTTTCAAGGTGAACTTACAGCATTTTCTATTTACCTCTTCTTCTCTGTGGGCCAAATCTTCACTTAGATAATGGCTAGAAACCTAGAACTTGGGGTTTTGATGAGAATATAAAGCTATAGATTAGTAAAATGCCCATTAGTATGACTAAAACTTTGGTCTACTATTTAAAAAAAAATTAGGAACTACATTAATAGAATCCTGGAGGCCATTTGACAATATTTCCTGTCAATTTTGCCAGTTGAAATATTTATATATAAGACTCCTAAGAGTTAAGGAAGCATTTTGAAACTAAGGGAAATGCATTATCTTGATGCAGAATTGCCCAGTGAATAGTACTTAAAAATAGGTCTAAAACAGAATTCTGTGTGACCCTTGTTGAGTTCTCTTAAACTTGATTTTTCTTATCTATCAAACAGAGCTACGGACTTCCTCATAGAATTATTGTCAAAAATACTTCCTCTAGGAGGAATTCATCTCAGGCACCAGCCATGTTTAGAACCCTCCCTTGAACCCTTAATGTCACCAATTGTCTTTTTGCTGTTTTCAGATAATGGCCTGTGCATACATCCTTTTTAAGGATGAACTGATGATTATAACTAAAATAAGGTTTCACACAGTTGTCATCTGTAAAAATAAATATTTTTGTAAATAAATATTTTGTAAATACACACACACACACACACACACACACACACACACTTGCCAACTGGAAATGGTAAATATTATTTTATCTAATATAGGTATTGATTAAGAACACAGATTTTTGAGCCATTCAGAGTTCAAATCCTGTCTCCAGCACTGATTAGCTTTGGGATTTTGAGAAATTTGTTGGATCTCTCTATGTCTCAGTTTTTTAATCTGTACCTCCTTATTTGTTGCCAAGGAAAGAATGAATTAAAACATGTAAAGCACTTAGAATGGTGCTGGTACCTTATAAGTGCTTTGTAAACGTTAATGTTATTCATTATTATTATTGATGTAAACATTAATATTATTCACTCAGCATATCAGTTTATAATTAGGGTTTTCCTGGAAGCATCTGTAAAATTTAATTTGATTAGGTTTTCATTAATTTAGCTCATAACTATGTACATTCTTTTATTTTCACAGCCCACCAGAGATGATCGTGGCTGGTTTGTTACACCAGTAGGTCCAAATCCATGGTGGACAGTAATAGCTGCTATTGTTCCAGCTTTGCTGTGTACTATTCTAATTTTTATGGACCAACAGATTACAGCTGTCATAATCAACAGGAAAGAGCATAAGCTAAAGGTATAGTTTAACATTAATTTTAATGTAAATTATTATGACTTGACTGACATCAATTGATGTTCATTATACTTTATATTCTGTAGTCAATTGTATAATGAAATATTAAAGTAATGCTTTCAAGTTCACACTTTTTATTGTTTTTATTCAGGATATTCTGAATTACAATAAACTTAAAGTTAATTGTTTTAGTTAATTAATTAATTAATTATTAATCAATAATACTTGGCTGAGTTCTAAACTCTGAAACCTTATCTTCAGGGTTTAAAATAAAAACAGTGCCTAAATTCTAACATTCTTTACCATGTTTAACATATTTTAATGAAATAATCTATTCTGGTGAAGTGCATCTTTACCAATTTATCTTACTTGGGGATTTCTTTATTTTTTGATATAACCCTAAATATTAGATTACATTCATTATTGGAACAAATTACATCTTCAGATATTTCTCTTTTTTTTTTTGTTTTTGTTTTATTCCTCTGTCTATAATGCCCATGACAAAAAAAAAACAAACACAAAAAAACCCAGTTATAAATGTTATAGACTGTGACACCTCTATTGAGTTTTATTGCAGATTTTAATGCCTTCCTTTTTTACAAAGAGAATGAATATGGATATGTTTTATATTCTGACTCTGCCATTTTGCAACTGAGAATAATCAAAGTTGTTTATTGGTATACAATTTGTCTGAGATATGTAATCTGAGTGCTATCACTTATAAGAACATGTTAAATAAAATCAAAGTCATTGAATGGTTACAAATTATCTAAATCAATCCTTCTAAAAACAGAACATGCACAATCTTGTTTTGTTTTGGAATCATGTACATACTCTAAACTCTAGAAAAAGGTTCATTATCAGAGCAACAGAAATCATGCTCCAAAGGATTTATAAGTATGTTTGTTAGAAAGATTAAGATCTCTGATTGAAATATTAGATGGTAAGTAGTAAAAACATAAATGTAAGAAAACAATGATTTGTAATAAATCTTGCTAAAAAATGAATTTCCTATATATAACGGAGAGTGTGTCTATCTTAAAACAAAGAGCATTCTTCATTCTCTTTGTAAAAAGTAACTTAAGAGTGCTCACAACTTTTTTGAAAGTTCATTCAATTCACTTGTTTTTGTCAAATAAAATCTTAATTATTAAGGATATATTTTACAAAAACATTTCATAAAGTTATAAGAACTAGACCAGTGGTATGCTGGTACATGTTTAACAACAGTTCTCTTCATTTAAAAAAGAGAGAGATGTTGGCTTACTATATATGAGAGATTTTGGTTTACTACATATTACTTTAATAGTATGAACACCCTTGCTGAGACTGGTTTGGCTCAATGGATAGAGTGTCGGCTTGGGGACTGAAGGACCCGGGTTCGATTCCGGTCAAGGGCATGTACCTTGGTTGCGGGCATATCCCCGGTGGGGGGTGTGCAAGAGGCAGCTGATCGATGACTCTCTCTCATCGATGTTTCTGACTATCTCTCTCCCTTCCTCTCTGTACAAAATCAATAAAATATATTTTTTTAAAAATAGTATGAACACCCCATCACCTCCTGGCTCATTTTATGCTGCCAGTGTGACAACAATTGGCAGGAAAATTTTTTGAAAATTAAACAATTGGCTCTGATAGCCTATATGAGCTGGCTCCCAAAACATTGCTGAAGTACACAAGTCAGTATTGGAAACGGAAACATTGACAGTCCTCAAAACAAGGAATTCAGACTCCCAAATTTAATAGTCTACTTACTTAATATCAATCATTCAAAAGTATTTGCTTTTAAAATATTAACCTTGTGCAAAAGCAAATGTCACCACTACCTAATTATTAATATTATATAGTTGTTAAATAGATCTATAAAACAAGTGCAACTACTTTATATTGAATAATTTTAGCCTGCTACTCTCTAAGAAGTAGGAAAACATTTTTCCTAGACACCAGTTATTTTTTAAAGCTGAAAATGCCTATATTTTTTTCATGATCAAGAAACGTATGATTTTAAGTTTTTTTTAGATAATATGCAAAGTTAAAAGAAAAAAGTGGAAAATACTATCATTTCATTACCTAGAGATAACTTCATTAACATTTTTATAGATACCCAAGCATATATTTTTATACTACATATGTCACTTGCATTTTTTCACATAAGATCATTATCATGGAAATCATCCAATGTCAACAATGCAAATCTGCATTATCATTTTATTTTATTTTTTTATTATTTTTAAAAATATATATTTTATTGATTTTGTACAGAGAGAAAGGGAGAGAGATAGAGAGTTAGAAACATTGATGAGAGAGTCATTGATCAGCTGCCTCTTGCACACCCCCTACTGGGGATGTGCCCGCAACCAAAGTATATGCCCTTGACCGGAATCGAACCTGGGACCTTTCAGTCCCCAAGCCGACACTCTATCCATTGAGCCAAACCGGTTTCGGCTATCATTTTATTTTTTAATATTTGTTGAAATATGTTCCGTTTCCCCCCTATTGACCCGTTCTAGCCTGTCCCCACCATTCTCCCTCCCCCACAGGCATTCACCACCCTATTGTCTTTGTCCATGGGTTATGAATATATTCACACAAGTTCTTTGGTTGATCTCTTTCTACCCATCTACCCCTGCCTTCCCTCTGGATTCCACAGTCTGTTCCATGTTTCTGTGTCTCTGGATCTATTTCGCTTATCAGTTTATTTTGTTCATTAGATTCCACATATGAATGTGATCTTATGATATTTGTCTTTCTCTGACCAGCTTATTTCATATAGCAAAATTCTCTCCATGCTGTCTCAAAGGGTAAGAGATCCTTCTTTTGTACTCTGCATAGTATTCCATGGTATAAATGTACCACAGCTATTTTATCTACTCATCTAGTGATGGGTACTTGGACTGTTCCCAGATCTTAGCATGTAATCTTAATAAATTGTGCTGCTATGAACATAGGGGTGCATACATTCTTTCTGATTGGTGTTTTGGGTTTCTTAGGATATATTCCTAGAAGTGGGATCACTGGATCAAATGATAGTTCCATATTTGATTTTTTGAGGAAACTCCATACTGTTTTCCATATGAATCTGTATTCCTACCATCAGTGTACTAGAATTCCCTTTTCTCCACATCCTCACCAGCACTTGTCACTTGTTGATTTGTTGATGGTAACCATTCTGACAGATGTGAGGTGATACCTCATTGCCATTTTAATATGCATCTCTCTGATGATCAGTGACTTTGAATATTTTTTTCATATATCTCTTGATCATCTATATGTCCACTTTGGAGAAATGTCTATTTAGGTCCTTTGCACATTTTTTAAAAATTGGATTGTTTGTTTTTCTCTTGTTAAGTTGTATGAGTCCCTTGTATATTTTGGATGTTATCAGAGGTATCATCGCCAAATATGCTCTCCCATAGAATGAGCTTCCTTTTCATTTTGTTAATGTTTTCTTTTGCTGTGCAGAGATTTTAATTTTAATGTAGCAGGATACAAAATTAACAGAAATCTATGGCATTTTTATACATCAACAATGAATTCTCAGAAAGAGAAACTAAAAAAAAAACAAAAAAACAAACAAAAAACATCAAAAAAACCTATTTACCATTGCAACAAAAAATTACGATACTTAGGAATAAACTTATCGAAAAAGGTAAAAGACTTGTACTCAGAAAGCTATAGAACATAGAAAAAAGAGATAGAGGAAGAGATAAGGAGAATATACTGTGTTCATGGATTGGTAGAATTAACATAATTAAAATGTCCATTCTACCCAAAGCAATCTATAGATTCAATGCAATCTCTATTAAAACACCAATAGCATATTTCACAGCTTTAGAACAAATACTCCAAAAATTTATATGGAACCAAAGAAGACCCTGAATAGCTGCAGCAATCTTGAGAAAGAAGAACAAAATTGGAGATATCACAAAACCAGATAAAAAGTTATACTACAAAGCCACTATAATCAAAATAGCCTGATACTGGCATAAGAACAGGCATATAGATCAAGAACAGAACAGAAATGGACCCAAGCCATTATGCTCAATTAATATTTCACAAAAGAGGCAAGAGCATACAATGCAGTCAAAACAGTCTCTTCAATAAATGGTGTTGGGAAAATTGGACAGATACATGCAAAAAAAATGAAACTAGACCACCAACTTACCCCATACACAAAAATAAACTCAAAATGGATATCATACTTAAATGTAAGTCATGAAACCATAAAAATCCTAGGCAGGAAAATCTCAGACATCTCTTGTAGCAATATGTTTGTAGCTATATCTCCTAGGGCAGAGAAAACTAGGGAGAAAATAAAAAAGTGGGACTGCAGTATAATTTTAAATGCCTGTATATATATTTCATTATATGACACACTAGAGGCCAGGTGCACGAATTCATGCACCATTGGGATCCCTTGGCCTGGCCTGCGGGATCGTGCTGGAACTGGCTCTCTGACATCCCCTAAGGGGTCCCGGATCACAAGAGGGCACAGGCCAGGCCAAGGGACCTTACCAGTGCATGATCAGGACCAGGGAGAGATATAGGAGGTTGACCAGCTGGGGAGGCACCGTGGGAAGGCTCCAGGGCATGTCTATCCCATCTCGATCAGTCCAGGATTGGCCAGACCCCAGCAGCAAGCTAACCTATCAGTTGGAATGTCAGCTCCCTGGTGGTCAGTGCTCATCATAGCGAGTGCATATCATTAGCATATTATGCTTTGATTGGTTGGTTGAATGGCCGACTGATTGACCAGACACTTAGCATATTGGGCTTTTATTATATAGGATGTTATAAATTAGACAAATAGATCATATTTATTAATAAAATAAGTTGTGTAATCATTGCTTCCTTTCAAAGGAAAATATTTTAAAAAATATATTTTATTGATTTTTTACAGAGAGGAAGAGAGAAGGATAGAGTTAGAAACATCGATGAGAAAGAAACATTGATCAGCTGCCTCTTGCACACCCCCCTACTGGGGATGTGCCCTTGATTGGAAT